AAAGATGTCTCCTTCTCAACGAAAGTCTTTTGAAGCTCGGGAGACATTGTGGCCAACTTGATGTATTTAACATGTCGATTAGAACTTTGCCACCGATTTAGGGCAGCCTGAGTCACCTCCTCATTGGGAGCCTCGGGCATTTCCTCATCAAGGACATATTCCTTTTGCTCTTGTATGAGAGCAATTCGCAAGTTTCTTTGTCAATTAAGAAAATTTGGCCCACTCAACTTCTCCTTGTCGAAGACTGAGCGTATTGTTATTAAAATCCCGATTTAAATCTTAGAATCTTACGATTTTACGATTCATGTATATCATACGATTCGATTTACAATTCTACCTGATTTTACATATTTTTCTGAACTAGCGAAATCCTTACAAGTAAAAAACATGTTTATATAGGTTTTTATAAATATATATTGTCAAGTATTGATTGCTTAATGGTTAAATAACTATTATCTATCAATAATTAGGTTTTAAACTCTTAATTTCAATATATTTAATTAAATTTATATTTGACATCTTGATTATGCATGTCGGTAGAATCTTAAGATTCTACGATTTGATTTTACGATTTGATTCTTATAGCCCCTTCCGATTCAAAGGAGAATCCCGATTTTAATAACTTTAATTGAGCACAATGAAAATTAATTATTTGAGTTGTTTGAAGTCATGATTCTAAAATTGAAAGAATTTTAATGAAAAACCATTCATGATACTTAAATAAGATTTAATTTAATTCATGCATATTTCAAGCTTATTTAACCTCTTATTTACACATAAAATTGTCCTTATTTTGTGAAAATAAGGCGATTCCAAGATCCAAAGAAACAAAGAGTGGTTAAGCATGCTTTGGCCTGTCTTAACACTCAATCTCCCAAGGTAAGAAATGCTTTGCTAATGGCTCCAAGCCACTCTCGGTTGAATAAATCGTCGCATCTAATGCTCTCTCAACAATTTATTCACTTTTCCACCACATGTTAGGAATCCATCACTCTTATCGTTGAGTACAACCAAAACCAACTTGCATACCCGGTATGCCTTATGAGTCTAGGAGTAATAGTGATGCCTCACTTTGGCGTAGCCCATCACTACTCTCAATAGGCCGATAAGTGTTGTTTTGTAATGGCAATTTCACTCAATATTTTAGGGGCCTAGGGTTTCTATGTTGGTTGATTTAAGTGAACTTAATTAATCATCACAACATTCGAAATCCTAAACATGCATCTAACATATAATTCATATATAAATGATCATAAATATGTAAAGCATAAGCATTTTGATGCATATTGACAACTAGTATGACCCTTTGAATTCTTCAAGTCTTCAAAAGGTATTCTTTTGCAACTTCATGGATTCTTCTTCTAAGAACCTCCGTCTTCAAGACTTGACCAAGATTATGCAACTACTAGTATTTATGATTAGGACTAATCTAAATATTAAGGTACAAAAATACTCAATGGTACGTAGACCGTATTTAGATTTACAAAAATACATCACGGATCGCAGTCCGTATTTTCTATCCTAATCGGGCCCCACTAGTTGCCATTTTATAAAACTTGTGAGAGAATATACAGTCCATTCATTCATTCACTGTTTGTGAATGGCCCATGCATTTTACAACTATAAAACAAGTAAAAATGCATAAACACGCTATAACTAGTAAATAATCTAGGTGGTCAATCCGATTAACACACCTAATTAAAACTAGTCAAAGTTATTTTAACCGAATATGTAAATAAGCGCAATTAATAATTGAAGCTCCCACTGAATTTCGCATCCAACATAATTAATATAATTAATTAAGCCGGTAAAACCCAAAAATTTTGCCAAAATTAAATTTTGCCAATGCCGCTCAAAAAATCGAGGCCTAGCCTCCAAAATTTTAATTAAATAAAACAAAATAATTAAAATAATTAAAACGATAAATTAAGCAAAAATTACGTAGTCCAAAATATCCAAGTGCCTACACTAAGACTTGGAATGCTCACAACTCGCACAACCGAATGATGCTCAAGGAACGTGGGAGTGGGTCACAATGTCGCTAGGCATTACACCGCTCACATCAGCGAACTTTCACACACCAAGTCGTGGCCCATTTCGGCCATGTTGCACGAGCTCATTGCAGCATATTGCTTTGCAAGCAATGTCTACGCATATTACCACTTACTTATGTACCAAGCAACGCACACATACATGCTCAATGCATGCACTATACACGGCTTACCCGTGGCTAGCCACAAGGCTGCACGCATGGTGCGCGCACAACAGAAAGCTGCTACCGCACCATACAGCTGCCTCGGCTGCCATGGTGCCGCACAACAGCTTCCCCCGCACACACGCACCACTTCGAGGCGCCCAGCAGCCTCGGCAGCCCCATGTGGGCTGTGAGCAGCCCGGCTGGCCGAGTGCATGCTTGGGGCTCTTAGGCCTCGATTAGTGTGCTCATGCCTTGGGTTAATTTCCCTATTTTGTGTGACATTTTTAATTAATTCTATATTAATTTTAGAATTAATTAATTTATTGAGGAAAAATGAAAATAACAAGTCTAACTTAAATAAATTCATCCAAGTGCACAAAACCAAAATTATTTCCAAGAACCATTATTTAATAAAATTGGTTTAACTTGGTGAAATAAAATAATGAGGGCAACCACTCACTATTAATTTAATTAATTAAATTAATCTTGAGATTTTGACAAAGTAAAAAGGAGTTAGAAAAATGAACACAAATTCAATAAAAATTCCAACTTTAATACTTGTGAATCCTTCCAAAATTATATCTTTCAATATGAAGATAAAACAAATTTCTATCACAAGTTTCAAATTTTATGATTACAATCAACTTAAAAATGATTAAATCAACAAAGTTCAACAAAAAATCATGGAATTTAGTAACTCAAAGTTTCAATCACTTAACATAATTAAGATTGAATCTTTAGTACTTAGAAGCCTCAAAGAACAACAATTTCACACTTAATGCAATTAATTTGCAATTATGTGAAAAATAAAACCAAGCTTTCAAACACAAATTACCACCAAGTAATCATGCCTAAAGAGGTTTAAAATTGCATAAAAAATATGCATTGAACAAATTACATAACCACCATAAATATGATCGTTTTTTGATCGTTTTTTTTATCGTATAGAAAAACCCTTCGACAACTGCATTTTTGATCGTTTTTTTTGGCTAAAAACCAAGTTCTTAAAGAATAAAACCATTTCCAAAACGCCTTTTCCACCCAAATTTTACTATTGTTGGGTCGAAATCTGGGTGTGGGAGCTAAAGACAGCTCTAATACGAGGTTAAAATGGATAAAACGAGCTACTAATCTAATAAGCAACTTAAAACCAGAAAAATTTAGCCATAAAAACACCTTGGAAAATATTATGATTTCAAAAATAAACGAGCGAGGCTCCAATACCGCTGTTGGGGTTTGGTGAGTCCGACTCACCTCGAAAACAAACCCAAAAACCAGACCGCACTCGTAATAAATAAAACTATAAATATAATTAAATTAATCACAAGATTAAGATAAAACGTTACCTTTGGAGCATGCTTCGCCCGACCACTTGGGCTCTTACTTGAAAGCTAGCTTCGAAATTACGAAGCCTCTGACTATGATCCACTCGCAACAACGATCACCGACAAGGTCCATTGTCTTGGGGTTAGCAAGACCCGACCAATAAACCCGAGTAATTGAGTTCAAAGGCTTTCACTAAATGTGATACCTTTTCCAACTCTTGAGTTCAAGGGTTTTTACTTACTTGTGATCCCCTTTCGAACTCTTACTCAAGCATCATTTCCAATGGCCTTACTTGGGTATTTATAGGAAATGATGAGAGTATGATTGTATCTCCCACCAATGTGGGATAGTGAGATTTTCACATTTTATTTTAAAGGTAAAGTTAAATTATTATTTAAGCAAGCTAGTAATAAATCAACAAGTGTCAACTATTCATGAGGAGGAAGTGAGGACCACATGGAAAGGGGGGACCAAACTTTCTCCCCCTCTCTCCCTCTCCATGTGCCACATGTCCTCCCTTTCAAGGCTCGCATTTACTCCTCCCTTGAACACGGCCCAGCTACCCGTGCACTCGGCTCAGCTACCCGCACCATGGAGTTGCGGGCTGCTGCTGCTTGCGGCTAGCAAGCCGTGCACTCCAAGTGCGGGCTGCTGCTGCTTGCGGCCAGCATACCACGTAATTCAAGTGCGGGCTGCTGCTTCTTGCTGCCCCTAGGTGCCGAGCTTACCTTGTCTGCTAGCAATGGTGCGCTTGCACGCATCAGCCAGCCTAGGCTCGGCTTGGTGTGCATGCTAGCCACAATGCTATGCATTATGCCCCTATCACTCGGATTTCTCGGGGCACTCCTATGCTAGGGGTATTTTGGGAAATATGTTGATTTATTACTATTTGCATGTATCGTCTTTTATTATTTTTGACTCGACTTTCGACGCTTGTTTTGACGTTCTATACTTGAATTTTCGACGTCTAAATAAATATTACTCGGCCGACTCATAAATTCCTTCCGAATTAATTCCTCGCTTCGACTCGTTGGTTGCTTGGGTGTTACCTGATGGGTTCAGTCAAGATTAAGCTGTAATATTAATTATGCATTAATATTACTAATCGTGAGTAGCTTCCACCCAGGCATTCCGATCACTTGACCTTATTGAATATATTAGCTTTCTAATAATTCTGAACCCACTATCTGAATAATACACTTGTTCGAAGGACACTATTCCTTTCAAAATGGTCCTTACCTAACCCCTCATGTGAGCTTCACACTTGTTGATTTATTAGTAGCTATCTTATTTATTTTATTTTAGATTTAAAATAAAATGAATAAAATCAAAATCTCCCAAAAGGAAAGATGATAGGAATTTTTGGAGCCTTTGCCTATAAATACTAGCCAAGGAGTTGGAATTCTTCACTTGAGTAAATGTTGAAAAAGTCATCACAGTGTGAAAACCTTTGAACACTAATTACTCGTGTTTTTAGGTCGGGTCTTGCTAACTCCAACACATGAAACCGGTTTGGTCCTCGCGTTGCGGGTGGACCATGAAGTAGGTCTCCGTGTGAGCGGGACTTGAAGGCTTTCAAGTAAGAGCTCGTTTTAGAAGAGTGAAGCACGCTAAAAAGGTAATAATTACTTACTTAGTCTTGTGTTTATGTTAATTATGTTTGTGGTTATAATTATTGTGAGTTTGGTTTTGGGGTCGGGTTTCCTTCCGCAGTGGGTCGGACTCACCGAAACCCAACATTACCTAAAGTTTTTGTTGTAGAAATTAACCTTACTTCCTTTTCCACCTAGGTATTCGATACCGGTTGTGTTGCTCATATTGTTAATCAAATGCAGGGCTTAAGAGTGAGTAGAAGGCTAGCTAAAGGGGAGATGATGCTTGGAGTAAAAAAATGGAGCAATTGTTGCTGCACTTGCTATTGGAAGCTATGAACTCAAGCTCCCATCTAGACTTATTTTGGTGCTTAAAAACTGTTATTATGTTCTTGCGATTACTAGAAACATTATTTTAGTTCCTGTTTTAGATACTGAAGGTTTTTCATTTGAAATTAAAGACAAATGTTGTTTTATTTCAAGGAAAAATATGTTATATGCTAGTGCTAAATTGGTTAATGATTTATATGTATTAGATTATATGACCCATGTCTATAACATAGATCATAAAAAGCAAAGAACAGATAGTTCAAACCCAACTTACCTATGGCATTGTAGGCTAGGTCATATTAACCAAACGTTACATAAGGATGAACTTCTCTCTACATTTGATTATGAATCATTTGAAAACTATGAGTCATGCTTGTTAGGTAAAATGACCAAGTCACCCTTTTCGGGGATAGGTGAAAAAGCTAGTGATCTTTTGAGACTCTTACATACAGATGTGTGTGGACCAATGAGTTCAAAAGCTAGGGGTGGATTAAGCCTTTAAAAAGTAGATTTGGTTATATTTACTTAATGAAGCAGAAGTCGGAAGCCTTTAAAAAGTTCAGGGAATTCCAGAATGAAGTACAAAATCAACTTGGGAAAACGATAAAAGCATTGCGATCAGATCGTGGTGGTGAATATTTTACCCAAGAATTTGATGAACATCTGATTAATTGTAGAATACTTTTGCAGTTAAATCCTCTAGGAACTCCACAGTTAAATGGTGTATAAGAAAGGAGGAATAGAACCTTGCTAGACATGGTTTGATCCATGATGAGCTAACTGATCTTCACATATCGTTATGGGGATATATATGCATTGGAAACAGCTGCTAAAGTACTAAACGGTATCTCGTCTAAAGCGGTGGAAACAACTTCATATGAGTTGTGGAATGGAAGAGCTCCAAACTTGTCTTTTCTTAAGATTTGGGGATTTGAAGCCTATGTAAAACGTTTACAAGGCGATAAACTAGGCCCTAAATCAGGAAAATGTCTCTTTGTGGGTTATCCCAAAGAAACAAGAGGGTATTACTTCTATAATTTCAAAGATAACAAAGTGTTTGTTGCTCGCGATGGTGTCTTTCTAGAAAAGGAATTTCTCTCTAGAAAGCCAAGTGAGAGTAAAGTGGTTCTCGAAGAAATTTGAGACAAGCAACAAATGGATGTGGATAACACCACATCAGAGGCGAGGGCGCATGAATCGGCTAATTCGATAAATCATGTGTCAGAGCAAGCTAATTAGACTAGCGAGACTCCTATCATACCACTTGAATCTAATTCTTGCAAAATTCTTCAAAGAGTTGGAGAGAATATTTCTGTTGTTTCTCCTACCCAACGTAAATCTTCCATAATCATAAATGAATAGTTTTTTGAGGTTCTGTTAACTTAGGATTCTGAAATTTTCATATTGGAGAATGAGGAACACTCAACCTACAAGCAAGCTTTGGCGAGAACCCAACTCAGATAAATGGCTTGAGGCCATGAAGTCCGAAATGGAATTGATGTTTAAAAATGTTGTGTGGACCCTAGTAGACTTACCTGATGGGGTGAAACCTATTGGTTGCAAATGGGTCAACAAAATAAAAACAGACAAGGATGGAAATGCCTATATCCATAAAACAAGACTGGTTGGAAAAGGGTACAAACAAATTCATGCTATTGACTATGATAAAACCTTCTCCTTACTAACTATGCTTAAGTTCATTCGGATTCTTCTAGGGATTACCGCGTTTTTCAACTATGAAATCTGACAGATGGATGTCAAAACCGCCTTCTTAAATGGGATGTTGATGGAGGAAGTGTATACGACACAACCTGAGGGTTTTGAAGATCCAAAAAATCCTAGAAAAGTATGCAAGCTTCAAATTTCCATCGATTTATTGAAGCAAGCATCAAGGAATTGGAACCTTCGTTTTGATGAGGCAATCAAATAGTTTAATTTTCTCAAGAGTGAAGAGGAACCTTGTGTAGACAAGAAATCCAATGGGAGCAGCATGGTTTTCTTAGTCTTGTATGTAAATGACATACTACTCATGGGAAATGACATACCATTGCTTCAGTCAGTCAAGGAATGGTTAAAGAGTTAGTCGTTTCACCATGAATGTCTTGGGTGACGCCAAGTACATTTGGGGAATCAAGATCCATCGAGACAGATCTCGAAGCATGATTGAACTAAGTCAAGAGACTTATATTAATAATAATTATGACAGGCTTGAGAAGAAGGACTGTAAGACAGGATTTCTCCCCATGTTCCATGACATTATGCTAAGTAAATCTCAGTGCCCTTTGTTAGTTTAGATGAACTACTACAAGAGGGGGGGTGAATGGTAGTAGGTTCCAATCGCGGAACTTATGTGGAAATTGAAAAAAAAACGTAAAGGAACTTAAAGCACACAACAATTTTTACGAGGAAACCATCCAGTACCCAACTGGAAGTAAAACCTCGGCCCTATTGGGACTTATAAACAAATTCCACTATAATAGGCAACTCTCCTAGTACAACCTATTACACAGACCTTTGCTTCACAAGTTCCTCCTAAGACACTTGGTGATTGATAAGAACCGATCTTATCAGACCTAAGACAAACAGAGGCACCTTTTTCGACCCAAGACACACTCAGGTTCCTTTCTCGACCTAAGACACACTCAGGTTCCTTTTTCTCACTGTGCAACCCAAGACACACTCGGGGTGACTAACTACCCCTCGAATTTTAGAGAATTCAAACTCATCACAAACGTGAATTTAAGAGAATTCACAATCTCACCCCAAAATACAAAACACTCAAAACCATTTTTCCCATTACAAGATCTCATTGAATATCCCTAAATACATATCTATGAATAAAGAGATAAAACTAATATGTTGGACACTCGAGACCTGTCTGGAACTCACTAGATGTACTGTAACCAAAACCTGATAGGAACTTTGACCAGGAGAACTGACTTAGCTTCGTGGTGAAGGATAAAACCATTAAGCACGACCACTACACTTCGTCAGCCTCAACTTTGAATGAATGCATATGAGCATATTTACAGTACACTCGAATTATTCATTTCATCTTGAAAAATATAGATTTTCTGAAAAGATAAGTTTAAAAGATATTTTCAAAAAATCAGTTTTCCGAAAATATATCTTTTTGTTAAGAATAAAAACTGTCAATAATAATAAGATAAACTTAGCATAAAATAAGATTTTATTCAAAACTTATCTTTTTGTTTAAAATACTTTTTAAACAATCTTATCTTTTTCCAAAAGGGATTTATTAGAAGATAAATATCTTTATTCAGTAAAACCAAATCCCTAAAAGATATGCACGTATAAGGTAAATATATATATATCATTAAAACTGACTTTTAACGACGTGCATACTTAAGTTCCTATTAGGTTCCTGAACTCTGACAGTCTCTGAGTTCCTGACAAGTCAGTTACTCTAATTTCATTGACTGTTTGGAGTTCACCTTGGTTCTATATAGACTTGTTCCAGACCGACTTTTATGTCCAACATACTTACATGAATCCTAGAGCAATATACTTCTATTTCGCTGTCTTCATGTTGCTTCTCTGAAACTCTTGTTTTGGAATCCTGTAGTCTTGATATATTCTGGATCTTAGGGTTTGCCCCAGCATTACACCGGAATCAGGTCATTACATCCCGTTTCGAAGTTCTTGTTAAGAAACTTCTGGAAGTTCCGTTTCTGGAACTCTTCTTCTAACTTTACTTGTATCCTCATGGATCCTCTAAAGTTCCTCTGTTTCAGTTCCTACTTCAGCCCTCAACGCTTACTGAACCTGCAAACATCGCAACACTAGAAAATCCTTATTAAATGGAAGTTTGCTCAATTCTTAACATCATCATCAAAACCTCATAAGGGTCAACAAGTTGTCCCTTTTTGATGATGACGAACTGAGCAAACTTCTGAGAATAACAAAGTAAAACAGAAGGTTAGATTTTTATTTATAAAAACAATAAAAAAAACTAAACTAAATTAAAAGACTCCTACACATACATAACCTATATATGTATAGGATACTTACCTTATGAAGATAACATATGTAAACACATGTTTACATAGTTACCTTCATGGTTCCTTAGCCATCATCATGTTTATCAACCATAACACTTATTGTTGTTCTTATTCCTCTATTGCTTATCCTATATTGCTCAAGTTCCTTACATATATACCTGTCATTACTTAGGTTCCTTGTATCCTGTTCCAAGCATAACTTGCTCTTTCTATGCACAACTTAACATACATGTTAGATAGATAATCATCATTAGTTTATAATCATCAAAACCTAATTGCTTAACAATTTCCCCCTTTTTGATGATGACAAACTAATGATGCTCATCACATATTAAAGGATAAGCGTTGTACATTTATTCCCCCTTAGTTTTTCAAGGAACTTAATAGTTAGGAACTTAGAAATACACATCATTTATCAATATATAAATACTTTCAACAATCATGATGTAATAACTTTAGACTTAATTACTGCATACCATAAGCATCATACATATTCTTCCCCCTTTTGTCATTATCAAAAAGGGTATTATTCCACACATTTGTTTTTCGTAAATTATACGCACTTAAAGTCATATGTCACACCTACCACCATATAATAAGTAAGTATATACTAGTTAAACACTTGTTGTTCCTAAAAGCCTCAAGGTACTCACTTTTCAAACACGGATACCATTTTCACACTAATTTCCAACTCACAATCCAAAGGCCCAACTTCAAAACCCATAATTGAACTTGACAAATAAGAAGTAAAATTCAAGTAAAGATCAGAGCTAAAAAGTTAGAAATGGATTGCATGAATAGACAAATGAAAGCGCAAGCTTAAAGGGTATATAAAGAAGCATATGGAACAAAATAAGTAGAGGGAACGTGAAGTGGAAATTGTGCTCTTCGTTTAGACCTTTTAAGAAGAGGTTCACTGCATTTGTTCTTCATTTCATACTCTTGAACCGCCTGCTAAACACAACACATTATTCATCTTGCCAATTGATAACCAAGTTCCCTTACCTTAACCACCAACTTCTTTGAGGAACATTCTCCATACTGGAACTTAAATAGATTTCAGTTTCATCATAGTCAAGTTCCTTCATCGTTTATTATTGTTCCTTCACTAGCTCACCAAGTATACGAGTACATGACATCAACATA